GTTTTATGAAAAGAAAGACTAGGCGAGACATGATAGCAGTGTTCAAATATCTCAGGGGCTGCCACAAACAAGAGAGAGTCAAGCTATTCTCCAAAGCACCAGAGGGCAGGACAAGAAGCAATGGGTGGAAACTAACCAAGGAGAGAAGCAATTTAGGAGAAATTTCCTAATCAAGGAGAGAAGCAACTTAGAACTAAGGAGAAATTTCCTGACAGTTAGAACAATTAATCAGTGGAACAACTTGCCTCCAGAAGTTGTGAAAGCCCCAACACTGGAAGTCTTGAAGAAAATATTGGACAATCATTTATGTGAAATAGTATATGGTTTCCTGCCTGAGCAGGAGGATGGACTAGAAGACCTCCAAGATCCATTCCAACTATTCCATTCCATTCCATTCTTCCATATTCTATTCTATTCTATGCTATTCTATTCTATTCTAAAATCTACAGCAGAACTAAAACAAAGCAGAACAAAAAGCATTACCATCAGCGAACCAACCTCCCTACCAGACTCAAGCTGAGGGAAAAAGGGAAAACTGGGCCACATACAAGGCCAACAATTTGTGGCTCCTTTTTTTCTTAAACCTTTTCAGCGTCAGAAGGGCTTTATGAGAAGCAGATAACCACAAGCGGTTGAGTTTATTTCTGTTCTTGTCCTGATCAATTCCTTTTGTCTTACCACATGCCCACCTACTGGTCTACAAACTTACTAGTTTCCAGCGGCTTTTGTGGAGATTTGCTTTCCAGAGATATTGTCGCAATTTTTCTTTCAATTCTAGGAAAGGAAAAAGGGGATTATTTGATTAATATACAGATGTTTTAGAACAGTCTCTGTTACAGGTCATGGATCCTCCAGGAGGATAATGGCGCAAGACATACACCTAGAGCCGTGGTGGCACAGTGGTAAGAATGCAGTACTGCAGACTAATTCTGCTGACTGCTGTGTGCCAGCAGTTCGCCAGTTTGATTTTCACCAGCTCAAGATCAACTCAGCCTTCCTTCCTTCTGGGGGTGGTAAAATAAGGACCCAGATTGTTGGGGGCAATTATGCTGACTCTGTAAACCACTTAGAGAGGGCTGTAAAGCACTGTGAAGTGGTATATAAGTCTAAGTGCTATTGCTATTACCTAAGAGAACCCCAAAACGGTTGAAAACCTAATATTAGACTGTTCTGAAATGGCCTGCTATGATTTGAACCCAATACAACATCCATAGAAAGAGTTCCAACTCACAGTTGGGAGTTTCCTCATCTAAGACAATTGGAGTTGGGCAGCCAATAAATATAAAGAAAGAAAGAAAGAAAAAACCCATTGCCACTGGAGCTTCAGAAAGCACTTGACTGCAATTATTGCCTCAAAACAGTATGTTACAAAATATTGCGTTGGGGTACCAATAATTACAGGGAGTCCTCAAATTACAATGGTAACTGGAACTGAAAATTGAATTGCTAAGTGATGTGATTGTAAAGTGTGATGAGATGTTACATCACATGGTGACAGCAATACCAGCCCCCACTACTGTCATTAAGCAAGGACATCATGTGATCATGACTTGAGACTGTCCCTTGGCTTCCAACAAGCAAACTACTTAAAAAAGGTAAAAGTTCCCCTCGCACATATGTGCTGGTCATTTCCGAATCTAGGGGGCAGTGCTCATCTCTGTTTCAAAGCCAAAGAGACAGCGCTGTCCGAAGACATCTCTGTGGTCATGTGGCCGGCATGACTAACTGCCGAAGGCGCATGGAACACTGTTACCTTCCCACCAAAGATGGGTCCCTATTTTTCTACTTGCATTTTTACCTGCTTTCGAACTGCTAGGTTGGCAGAATCTGGGACAAGTAACAGGAGCTCACTCCGTTACACTAGGAATTCTAACTGCTGAACTGCTGACCTTTCTGATCGACAAGCTCAGCGTCTTAGCACTGAGCCACCGGGTCCCTTTATTACATGGTAAAGTAACTTAAAATGCATTTTCAAACTTAAGCACGGGTTTAATGTTGGGGAAGGAAACGCTGTGGGGTTTGAGACCATACATTGCTTTGAGGCAGCCCCTCATAAAAGGACTGCACCTGCTGCTACTCGCCTGGTGCTGTTATGGTCATCCTCCAGACTCTGTTCCTCATCAGAGGTTAGCGGAGAGTAATGGATGCCATTGGTCTGAATTAGAGGCTTCTCCTTTTTCAGCACAGGTGGCTGATCATTGTCTTGATATGGAACAGGAGAATTCTTCAGGGAGTTTTCGGGGGAAGAAATGGCTGTTATTTCTAAAGGCTGGTTAATGTTGCTGACCTGAGGAGGGAAGACAAAAAGAGAACATTAAGGATTTGAAAAAAGACAAGGAAGAAAGAGCTAACTGTGTTTCTAGGGATTTTGCTTTTAAAGACAGCGTTGCTCAGCTTTGGGGAAGAGAAAGGAAATAACATTACTTTTCAGGTAGAAAGTTATTACAAGTAGTCCTCAACTTAGGATCATCCATTTGAAGTTATGACAGGACTGAAAAAAGTGAGTTACAAGTGTTCTTCACGCATACAACTGTCATAGCATTTCACAGTCCTGTAATTGTGGTCCAGGTGGTTGGCAACTGCAACAAAACTTAGATTTATATACCGCTTCATGGTGCTTTGCAGCCCTCTCTAAGCGGTTTACAGAGTCAGCCTCTTGCCCCCAACAATCCGAGTCCTCATTTTACCCACCTCGGAAGGATGGAAGGCTGAGTCAACTTTGAACCCATCAGGATGAAACTCCTGGTAATGAACAGTGAGTTGGTCTGCGATACTGCATTCTAACCACTGTGCCACCAGGGCTCCTGGCAACCAGCCTCTTCTTCATCTGTACAAAATCGTTCCATAGACCAGGAATGGGCAACTATGGCCCCTTATGACTTATGGACTACAATTTCTAGAATTTCTGAACCAGTATAGCTAGCTCAGGAATTCTGGGAGTTAAAGTTCACAGGTCTTGAGAGGCCATAGTTGCCCACTCCTGCCTTACACTGCAACTGTTTACAATTCTTTAGGGAAGGGTGGGAAATCTGTGCCATGCCAGCTGGGATTGTTGGGATGAATAACTTGCCCAAGGTTTAGGTCAAAAATGGGGAACTTGTACCACAGAAGCCAAACCCAGCTGAGAAGGCCTTCCTATTTAGATTATAAAACCTCAAGAAAGATCCCAACCTGTCACATCTCTCCCTCTACAGGAGAAAGTGAGCGCTATTCCTTGCCTTTTCCTACATCTACAGAAAAACAATTTACCATATTTTTGGAGTATAAGACACACCGTAGTATAAGACGTATCAAGATTTTGAAGAGGTAAATTAAAAAAAAGGTTTTTGCACTCTGCAGACCTCCGAAAACAGGCCCATTTTGGGGGGAATCAAAAAAGGACATGCAGAGCCTTTAGGAGGCTTATAGTGTGTTCCTGGAGGCTGAGGGGGGGTTTGCCCTCCCCAGCCCGCAGGAGCACTGTATAAGCTTCCTAAAGGCTCTGCATGACCATTTTGGTGAAGGGGTAGAGTTTCAGGAGGCAAAAAATGCTGTATTCAGTGTATAAGATGCACCCAGATTTTCAGCCTCTTTTTTAAGGGAAAAAGGTGTGTCTTATCCTCCGAAAAATACAGTAATTTCATTCAGTTAGGATGGCAGAAATTAATGCCTGGGATTATTATATTATTAAATATATTATAGTAATAGTAATAATAATACATTATAAACAGCTTATATCCCAGGGCAATAACTATATTGAATTCTATGGTATAGTGCAATATTAATGCAATATCTTATTTTCAATTTCAATTATATAGAATGTGAAGGATTTGTGTTTGTGTTTTTAGTTATAAAAACATAAAAATACACACGGAAAATGGCATTTAACTTCATTGTACGATGTGCAATGACAATAAAGTAAGCTAAACTAAATTAGAAGCACTAAGGAAATTGTTCAAAACAAGGCCATAAGATCACCAAGACTTTCCCAACTTTTTATAACTCCCTGATTAACAGATTCACAAAGGAACTATACAATTATCTTTGGTACATGTTATTTATCCAGCTATTGAAATACAGGTAGTCCTTGACTTACGACTTATGATTGAGCCCAGAAGTTTCTGTTCTTAAGTGAGACATTTGTTGAGTTTTGCCCCCATTTTACAATCTTTCTTGCCACCTTTGTTAACTGAATCACTGCAGTTGATAAGTCGGTAACCCGGTTGTTAAGTGATTCTGACTTCCCCATTGACTTTGCTTGTCAAAAGGTTGCAAAAGGGGATCACATGACCCCAAGACACTGCAACCATCGTAAACATGAATCAGTTGCCAAGCACCTGAATTTTTATCACATGATCATGGAAAGACCACAACAGTTGTGTGAAAAAAATGGTTGTAAGTCCCTTTTTCAGTGACATTTTAACTTTGAATGGTCACTAAATGAATTGTTGTAAGTTGAGGTCTACCTGCAATTTCCAAAAGATCACCGATCTATGAAAAATCCTATTGGCCATCATTCAGGAAACAATTTCCAATTATATTGGAATCTACCTTAAGCCAAGTAGGTTATTTGAAATTTGAAATTTAATAAATTTGTATGCCGCCCAATCCCGTAGGACTCTGGGCGGCTTAGAGAGACAAGATAAAAACGATTAAAAAATTAAGAATAAAAATACAGTTATTAAAATTACACAACATCCATTCTGTCTAGGGGGGGCTGGACATTAATCAACACCCCCAGGCCTGCCGGAACAGCCAGGTTTTGGTGGCTTTTCGG